GCTGTGGGAACCATTATAGAGGGTCTTCAAGTCAGGGCTGTCCCAGCTCCATCAGTGTCTGTGTAATAACCTCTCTCAAAGGAAATGCCTTGCAGGGGGAGCAGGGACAGCATTCAGTGATGCACACTGTGTGACAGCTACTGCAATTCTACTGTCAGTCAGAGGGGGTGAGTACTTTGCACATGACCCTTTAAACTACCTGTGCCTGTACCCTAACTACCCCATTTCTCTTGCCATTTTAATTCCTCCTAAAAACTAAACAAACCCTTTTATTTATCTCAAATTTAAGCACTCAAATAATATACCCAAAAGAAACAATTCACATTAATTCTTTATATATTTAAGTCCATTTAAAAACTAAATATTCCAAGTACTCCAATACTAAATGTAAGACCACTCAATAATCCTAAACACCCCCTGTACATAAATACTAAATGTAACCCCACTCTAAGCATGAGCCCAATAATCCTAAACACCCCAAATACCAAACCCCCCCCACCCCCCCCAGCTATAAATCCTATTACTAATAAACACCTTATATAATCTAAATGTGACATCAACCCATCTCTTACCTTAAATCCATATTTGCTCTTAAGCAGTGGCGTACTAAGGGGGGGCGGTCCGCCCCGGGTGCCAGCCGGGTGGGGGGTGCCATGGCCAGCCCCCCCCATGCTGCAGCCGCCCGAGCGCTCTGTATAGAGCCTCAGGCGGCTGCAGCTTTGCCCGGGTGGTGCGTCCATGAGGGCGGACCGCACCGCCCGGGCGCAGCCTGAGGAGAGGCTGACAGGAGGGAGCGCTCCTGTCAGCTCCCTCACTGTAGCATTGATAGTCCGCGGGTACAGGAGACAGCTGCTCTCTGTACCCGCGGACTATACAGGGCTCGGCCACGCTACAGGGAGGTAGGGGGGAGTGGAGGTGGGGTGAGAAAGAGGAGAAAGGGGGGGGGTGAAAGAGGAGAAAGCAAGTAGCGAGGGGGGTGAAAGAGAAAGGGGTGAAAAGGGGAGGGGTGGAAAAGAGGAGAGAGGGGGGGTGAAAAAGGAGAAGAGGGGGGTGAAAAAGGAGAAGGGGGGGTGAGAGAGGGGGTGAGAGAGGAGAAAGGGGGGGTGAGAAAGGAGGGAGGGTGAGAAAGAGGAGAAAGGGGGGGGTGAGAAAGGAGGAGAAAGGGGGGTGAAAAAGGAGAAAGGGGGGCAGGTGAGGAGAGAGGGGGTGAAAGAGGAGAAAGGGGGGGTGAAGGAGAAAGGGGGGTGAAAAAGAGGAGAGAGGGGGTGAAAAGGAGAAGGGGGTGAGAAAGGAGGCAGAGAAAGAGAAAGGAGGGGGAGAAAGGAGAAAGCAGAGGGGGAGGAAAGGAGAGGGGGTGAGAGAGATATTAGGAGGGGGGAAGAGAAATTAGGGGGGGAGAGAAATAGAAATTAGGGGGGGAGAGAAATTGAAATTAGGAGGGGGGGTAGGGAAATTAGGAGGGGGAAGAGATATTAGGAAGGGGAAAGAGAAATTAGGAGGGGGGGGTGAGAAAGAGAAATTGGGAGGAGGAGAAGGAAATTGGAGCGGGAGGAGAGATTGACATTCATCACATACACACAATGCACCCCTTGCACACAGAAAAACACACAATGCATTACACACAAAGACACACATACACAAGCAATGCAACTGTTACACACAATGCATCCCTTACACACACAGAAACACACAATGCATTCATTACACACACTCAATGCACCCCTTACACACATTCAATGCATCCCATACATACACAGAAACACACCTTGCAGCCCTTACACATACAATCACAATTTCACACACTGCATTCCTTACACACATATCAGGACATCCCCTACACACTCCACCCCCTGTGAACAAACTCATTGGTGGAA